ACACTTTTTTGCGAAATATTATGATCCTTATAGAACTTATTCAATACTTGTTGGCATATCTTATGAGAAACCTGATGTTGTATCGTATTATTCCAATTATCACCTGAAACCCATGTACGAAGCTTTCAGAATAACAAAATATTACATACGTGCAGACGAGACCGACCCTTTTTGCCCACCCCTTAGTACCAACACTACTAGTACGCAAGCCATCTACTAGTAACTGATTATTGAATAAACCAACTCCAGCGATGTAATGAACCGATGCTGATCTTGCACTGATTTGGTGCGTGATATAGACAACTCACAACCCAACACTGCGGGGCTCGGAATGTTCCGAGATTCGAACCCGCGCTCCTCAGGTCGACCGATTATACTTTATCATTGTAACTTAGCAGTACTTATTTCGATTTTTAAGACAATGTGTCCAAGTCACATTTACCCAAAAAGGCTTAATCTTGAATGAATGGTGCGGAGTTGTTACGCATACATATAGCGTATGTAATTAAGTTAACGCATCAACTGCTAATGAAGGATTCATTGAGAACTTGGACACATCCTCTGATGCTTAAAGGATCATTAAACAATCTTAGCTTTAATGCTGTACTTACGATCTAATGAGAACTTTTTATTGGCATTTTCCCATCAGGTGTAATAGCGAACGAATGCTTTTAGTATTTGTCGTGAGGTCCGTTAGTGTAGTCCTGTGCCAAATTTATTATCAACATTTTTTTCAGTTGACGATTGGCATCTTTTACTCTACATGCACATGATATTGAAAGCGAAATCTCAGCAACTGCGACAACGATTTTGATTTTTGGAGATGGATATAACACGTCACAGTAGGTAATGTTAATTTATCTTTTTTGAATCTTTGAAGTGCTGGCAAAGTTATGAGCGAATAAACAACAATTTTTGATTGTTCTCAAACTTCGTTATTCATGCTCTTTCTAATATTTTCCGTGTGTTATAAAATTAGTTGAAAATAGGAAAACGGAACAAATAATTTGATTCACTTGACACATAATTTATTGGTATGTATATTAGAGCCAATGAAATGATTTCAACTAGTTGATAATGATACACTTCGTTTGTTTTGTATTCTTGAAGATACTATTCATCCACTGACATATTTTGAGATTTTTGAAACATAGTAAACAGTATTTCGGCCCAGAGCGGCACTGTCAGGATGATAAAACTAGATTAAACTAGTTTACTATGAGGAACTGTAGTGGATGCTAAGGGTGTAGTCGCAGACGTTTTGGTTAAACCCAACATACAGTATGCATTGAAGTGCTTTCCCCGATTCACGTTCACCGCAAGTTATTTCCTATGACACCGCTAAGAAAAATTACACATTAAAATCCCATTAAATTCAAATAATCAGTGTCCAAGAAGTTTTGAAGAATTTTCACTCTGATGGTCCTTGTGTAGTCACGTACGCAAGTATTTCAATCATCGTGTATAGTCACTCGGCTGCATTCCACGAAATAGATTGATTGTACCTCTAGTGGTTTATTAGCTAAACATTTTTTTAAACCAAATATCTTACTCTTAGCAGTTTTTGTGACACATGACTCAAAATTTTAAGTGTTGCTAACTTGAATTCATCAACATTTGACTAAATAATGCTTACAGCTCAACTAAAGATGTTTGCGAGATTCCAAATTTCAGGGCCAGATTCATTTTTAATTTTTTTTATTTTACTAAGGCAAGGCCCGGTAAGCTATACCCCGAATTTATAATTTAGTAGAAATAAGAGCAATGGGTGATATAAATAAAAGGTGAAACTATGTTTTTCACCTTATTTTTTTTCGGTGGTGTTTTATTGATTTAATTCCATCAACTGATATTGTACAATAATATAAGTTCTGCTAAAAAGGCAGATGTCATTTAATATGCAATTCCACTAAATGACCTTACAGACCAACATTAAATTAAGGTCACGGATATTATGTATCTTGAAAAGTGACATTTTCTGGATTTTTTTTAAATTGTATTGTTTTTTGTGACATTATGTGTGTTTTTTACAAGATGTTAACTTAGCACTAGCTGATGGACACGTTGTAAACTCGTTTTGTAGTTGTACGTGTTGCCTAAACGTTATGAGGCTTCAGTTATGAAGGTTTGGCACTGATGTGATGTAAAATCTGCTTCAGAGATGAGATTCAAAGCTACAAATTAGTTGCGCATCCACTTTTTCTTATCCACTCTGGAAATTACATATACAAATCTGCTGAATTTCAAAAATAAGAGAGAAAACAATTAATTATATTTACACTGTCGAATTACAAGTCATATAGATGCTAACAGTATGATTAAACACAACGCCGGCGCCGTGGTGATTTCCCGTAACTCTCAAAGTTTTTGAGAATACAACAAACATAAAAAATCGTAATTTGTGACTTCGAACATAACCTGTCTTCAAAATGGACAATATATAAGTAACCCGTCGGGCACAGCTAATAGATTTATTTAATTGGCAGCATATTCAGTAATGCTTTTCTCACACAGCAAATACCAATGATTTTATAAACACACAGACAAATACACACAATCATCCAGATGCGATCTTACTATACTAACAAATTTCTTCTCAAAGATGAAAACTACAAACTAACTCGGCAATGCGTGTAGTTGAGTTATTCCTTCATAGATGGACGCTCACAACTATCCAACTATCCTAAAAGCTACTAGTCTGAAAGGTGACATTTTTTTTTGAGGTCTATGGGTTCTTTACATAATACCCGCACCGGTCACGATACCACGTGTTTTACGTAAATAAATGTAACGTCTAACCTGTAACTGAATATTAAGGTTTTCTTCATTTCCATCAAAATATTGAATTGGTCCGGAGGGTTAAATTCAGTGCACTTGCATACTAAATACACTTTCCCTGAAGCAGGACTCGTGTTATTGTATAACACCATTTGATAGAATTGAATAATTAAAAAAATACTGAAAAACTAAATAGGGTGCACAACATTAATTTTCCCTCTTAATTATAGCATTATTTTTTTTAATGTAAGATAATAATAACTATGAATTAAGAGTATAACTTACAGGGTGTTGCACTTAATAAAATAGAAGTATGTAAAATAGCAGGATCTTACCGTGGAATGCTGCATCTTTCGAATAATTTTAAGCATTACATGTATTGTGTAATTTCTTAAGACTAAGTTGATAACCCTGAATTTTTCAGTTTTGCGTCACATAGTCAAATATATCACTATTCGGATTAACAGGTGTTGATCTCAATAAATAACAAAAAGTCCATCTAGTTATACGTTACTTCTAGGTAACTTATCGTGCAAAATTTCAACAAAATTGGTTTAACAGTGACTAAGATATTTGCGATATGAAAGATTTTAAGCACGGAGTACCCTATGGCTTTTCCTAACATGAGTGCAACTGTGCAGGAAAGTAAGTAAGTTTATTTTGTATGATTACATGTACGTCTTTTGTGAATACCCGCATAAGGCAATGTGCTAAAACATGGTAAGTTTTTAGAAACTTTCCGTAAATACATATTCTTCTACAAATTGGTGCGCCTCTACCGTATTTTCTCCGATTCTAATGATAGTAGACATGCATTAGCAAATCTTTCTCATGTAACTTACCTATCACCTGATAATCAATGAGAATCATTTGCAGAAATTACCACTGTAATACATTCTGATATTATCAGTAGGGAATGTCATTATAAAGCACTCACAGCGGAAGGTTGAACAACGGGTGGCATAACCTTCTCGCTTTTTTCAGTTGCTGTTCAACTATTCATTCTACGTGATTTAACAAAACTTCAAATGCCCATATTTCTGAGACAGTGTAGCATTCGTTAGAAGCTATATGTATTTTTCTGAAGTATTATGATGTCCATGATCCCAAGTAAATGCTATTCTATTTATTATGCCCTCTGGGATTTTGGAATATCATCATTATGGATCCTAACAGCATCTGAAAAGGCAAGAAGGGTGTATACATCTACTGCAAAATCCCTGGATAATCCTTTGCTTCGAAATATGTGGAAGAATTTTATTAGAAATATACCTAAATATAAAATTATTTCGTATAGTTCTTGACTAGATCATTAATCTTTTGTGAATTTCCACTATTGTATACTTTTATTCGTCAATCTACATATGGGCGCTAGAGGATACTTTATGAGTGGGTTTTCCAAGCATTAAGTGTTACCTTTCAGCCCAGTGTCTTCTGTAGACTCGAGGCGGTAAAGAACCTGTAGCGGCTCTTATATTTGAATTTACATAAGACCACGAACACCACTGTAGCCCTGCGATATAGTAAAGCCAGCCTATTTATTTTTATACTCATTTAGATACTAAGTTAAATTTTTCATTTGCCCTATAGATGACCTTATAATAAATCATTACATCCCTATGGTCACTTATTGCACCAGGCATACAAATAACATTAGGATTATTAGGGTGTAATGGAAAAATATTTTTTAGATCTGCAAAAATATTCTCTAACGCCTCGTCAAACGCCAGGAAATGGAGCTGCCCTATTAATGAATATCCTCCTCTGCATGACGATGTTATGTTGAACTGTCCTGCCTACCATCTCGAAAATTATAACAGGTGTAGCTTTAACGGTACAATTATCTGGTTATCAGCTAGACAACTATTAATTATTAAAATATTTTCGGCACATAGGAATGTGAAACAATGGTTTAGTTCCAGCTTACACCGGTTATGTCATTGCAACATTTAACTTTGTACCGCTTTGTACCGCTGAGGTTCAGCTTCAGGCTAGCACGTATGCAAGAACAGGTTCTTCTATGCGACGTCAGCGTATGGTATTGTGCATTAGTGCTCCTGGTATCGTTACACTTACCTCAATTATCAGACGTAACTCAAAGTACACTTTTTCAGATTATATTTGTAGTTATTGATTTCTGAGTTCATCTTTAAAAAAAGGGAGATGTTATGTATGAATGTTGTAAGAACCACCATGCCTAAGTCCATAAAAAAGCATGTAGTTTTTGTACAAGCCAACACACTGTTCCGTTCAGAATATATTACAGTCGTTCTCTCGCACTCGTAGTTTCAATAAGTAACATTAGTAATTTATATATAACATCCCCCGACAAATATGAGGCACGTCAGTTTGCAAGCTCATCTTGACAGGGCAACAAGAGACCAACAGCAATGCTAGTATAGGTGCAAAATTACGATCAATCGTTCAACATGGCTGCAAATAACAACTACGAGTACTTACCAAATGGATACGTCGTGGAAAATGTAAGTTATACCTTTTAGATAAATGTTAGTCAAATGTGCTGATTTGACTATTTACATATGTTTCCTGCATTTAATATGTTAACATCATCCTTATTGAAATAGTATGTTTGCTTACCGTCTCTGTAACCAAGTCCAACCGCAGACAGTGCTGTCTCGTGTCCGTTGGCACACTCATTAGTGCGATATAGCTCTAGTAGTTCTGGAGAGAGATAAATAGAAAGCAAACAAATGGGAATGGTCGCTAAAAGGTCATGGAAAACAAGTGGAAGGTCAGATTTTTCACCTACCTCCGCGCATCACCTTTATTATTATTTGTGTTAATATAACAATTGTTTCTTACATTTTATTACTCGTACCAACGCCATATTTTTGGAGATAAGTATGATTACTTTAAGTGGGAGTTTAAAAAAAAGATATAAAAGATATCTACTTTATTGGGTATCTTTATTATGGAGGTAAAGGGGTAGTCTCCAATTTTATTTTAAAAGGAGTTTGAAAATTTCGAGTGTTATTTGGCGACCGATTGGGCTTCAGCGAAAAGATGCAACGTTACTTGCAACACATTGAAAACCGAAACGGGTAAAGTAACAAATGAGAATTAACGAATATGCGATGAATTTGTAATTTTTTTACATATTATGTCGTAGAAAAAATAGCAAGCAATATAAAAAGAGATTCTAATAAATTTGAGTTACATAGAAAAATATTAGTAACTCATTTGTTCTGACCGAAGACGATGATCAAGAAGTTTTTAACACTGTTATGTATCTGAAAAATAAAAATATCCCAGGATCTGATGAAGTAAGAACTAAACATCTGAAGATGATGGTCAAGCAAATATCAGAACCATTTGCTTATGTTATAAATAAATGTATACGGTCTGGATTATTTCCCTCAGCTGTTATCATTCCTATCTATAATATGGACGTTGTTACGAATTATCGACCAGTATCACTCATATCGGCTTTGGTTAAGGTATTCCAAAAAGTAGTAAGTAGTAAGATGATAAAAATTTCCTTGATAAATTCAGAACCCTAAGTCAAAATGAATACAGATTTGTAACAGGAAAATCAACGGCAGATGTTGTACTAAGTCCAGTGAATCAAATCACCCGCAACCTAAATGAAAAAATTCCAGCTATTTGTGTATTTGTAGATCAGAAAAGGTCATTCGATACAGTTAATCACAGTTTACTGTTAAATATGCAAAGTTATTTATCAAAAAAGGCCCCAAGTAGTGAAACTATCAAAATCATACAGTAACGAAATGTTTGCCGAATGTGGGACAGTGTTAGGCCCTGTTTTATTTAATATCTATTTGAATGATATATTCAGTATTAACTGTGTAGGTTAAGTACGAGCCCCTTCCCACTTCAGTTGGCCCACTTCAAGATTTGTACCAAAATGTGCCTTTATAAAATAAACATGACGAAACTATTTACTTCTAAAACAATTTATTTTCTCAAAAATATTTTACACTCTAGTCGTAAAAAATACATGTTTGGAATCACTTAGACCTATAACTAATAGAACATCTGAGCAAATAAACAATGTGCGCATAAATGCGCGAAGTTAACAAGCAACAATTGAAAGATTACCATTGGGTAACAACACCTTTATTTTTTATTACGGCTGAAATTCCTTGGGGCATAGTGTTAACCAAGTTTTGTAAAAAATTTGATGTAAAACAATCCCGTATTTCTTGAAGCTTTTGTCTCAGTTCGGTGATTGTACGAACAGGATGTTGTCGTAGTACCTTTTTCATCTCGTGCCACAAAGTTTCAACTACTAGAAACCCATTTCAAAAGTGGTACATTATTTTCTTCCATCCATTTTCTAGCCTTTTTTGAGTTATGGCACGCTGCACCATCTTGCTGAAACACAAAATCTTGGCCGGATATCAAACATTCTTCCATCACTGGTAAAAGCGATTCTTGTAAAATTGCCAAATATTTGTTTGTATCCACATTTCCATCAATAAAATGAAGTTTCCCTACTCCTTTTGATGACATACTGGCCCAGATCATAATGGAAATTTCACTTTTCTCTTCAGACAGTCAACATAGGATGCTTCATTTTTTGCGAATAACTCTACTGCGACTGCCACCAACACAAGCTTCAAATCGGGCCTCATCACTCCATTGTACTACACACCATTGTTGAGGGGTCCATTGTCTATGTTCTTTAGCCCATCTAAGCCGATTTTTATAAGAAAACTTACCTTGCAAGTGCTAAATCCCAGTTTGTGGGCCTCTCTATGAGTTGTGTACCTCGTAATTCTCCTTCCAACAACATCACTCCACTTAATTGTAAATAATTGGCAAGCCTGTTTTTCACGATTATTCTTCTTAATGCTCTTCGGTCGGCATTTGTGATATTACTTTTTTTCACATATCGTGGCTTAATATTAACTGAACCAGTTACGTTATATCTTCTAACAATATTTCTCACACTGTACCGCGATAAGTCTAACAAAGTTGCAATTTCTGAGTTTGATTTCCCAGAATTACAAAATTTAATTATCAGTAACCGAATTTTCTTACTAATAACCTTTCCTGTACCCATTTTGAAAACCTTAACTACCCAAAACTATTTTAAACGTATTCTGACAGCTGTTATTAATAAAAAAAATTGTCATGGCTTTTATTTTTAACAGCCACCTATGCGTTATAGACTTATTTTGCATTGAAATGAAAATAGGTTGATATGCTGTAATTGCAACATGTGTTATTTTTATGTTGCAAATTTGATTAGGGAGAGATAAATTTGGTGTTTTCTACTATATATTATCAAAATATTCATTGTTAATATTTTAAACCTATAACACCCTGCTACATTTTTGTTATTTGTGTTTGATAAGAAAAAAACTAAGATTGCAATAGTTGGGCCAACTGAAGTGGGAAGGGGCTCGTAGCTAGTTTTGTTGGTGATACGGCAATACTATATAAAGGCCAAGACTGGAATGGTGTAAAGAGAATAATTGAGAATGAGTTTTATAAAATCATTAATTTTTTCCGCATTAGAAAATTAACAGTGAACTTTATAAAAACGAATTTCCTACCCTTCACATCATACGCAAAACATCCATCCGATTATTCAAATATTTACATCAAAATAAACAATACAAATTTAAAAATTGACAGAGTGGACAATATCGAATATTTAGGAATTTCTTTAGACTAATATTTAGGGTAGGACATTCCTGCAGCCTACATTTTAAAGAAAATAAGATTTGTTACATAAAAAAGTAAATTCGTCACAGGCATATTGGCAGAAAATTATATGCCTTAATTGAGCCGCACCTAAGGTAGAGTATACTGGCGAGGGTACAGAATGTCCAGTGTACTTAAACGACTTGAAATTTACAGAGAACTGTTTTGAAAACTATTTTCAGAAAACCAAAATTATATTCAACTAATGATTTATATAACAAAAGAAAATTATTTGATATCAAGCAACTTTATTTTTACATACTATCAGCCACTATCACAAAGTTGTCATTGAGCTCGATAAAATCAATTATTGTCATGATATACGATATAAATCACGAGCAAAAACTGTCCCTAAACCTCATTAAGACCATAATGAAGCGATCGTTTCTCATACATATGCAGTGACATATAAATCCGAACACCCAGTTTAAATGGTTTTATTTTAATAAAAGTTGGTGAATGTATTTATCTTACTGTAAATAACAAGTGAAAAAATTTTCATCCTTATGAGTTGGAAATTCCGATTTTTATACTGCTTTTTTTTAATTCACTAACGCTCTAAAAATGAATATTTCAGCCGCAGTAAAGAATCAACGTTGGCGGATTTTGGTTCTTGACATCCTTTACGATCGGTTACGATGCCTGGAGTACGGAGACCTGTACGATTTCGTCAACTTAGTGAGTTTGATAGGGGCCGTATAGTGGGACTTCGGGAAGCTGGACTTTCCTTTCGGGCAATTGCAGTTTGAGTGCAAAGAAGTGTAGACACTGTGGTTAGGTGTTGTCAGGCATGGCTTCGAGAAGGCCGTACGCAAACAGCAACGGCACTGGACGCCGCCGTAGAACAACAGACCGTGAAGATCGCCGCCTAAGATTATTGGCCTTAAGGGACCGTTTCTCCACTACCAGGTCCATTGCAAATGACTGGTTTGCAGAACAAGGAAAACCTATTGGCATGCGAAGTGTTTACCGACGAATGAGAAGTTTTGGCTAGTTTTCATATCTGCCACACTGGGTCCTCCCTTTAACTCGAGAACACCGACGTAATCGCTTTGAGTGGTGCAGACAACGGTCACTCTGGGATCAGGAATTGAACAGTATTGTCCTTAGTGACGAGTCTCGATTTTGTTTAGTCATGCACGATGGTCGGGCCAGGGTTAGAAGGCGACGTGGTGAAAGGAGGAATCCACAGTTTTTTGTGGAAAGACATGTTCATCACACTGTTGGAGTTATGGTTTGGGGTGCTATAGCTTATGGTTCCAGATCACCTTTAATCTTCATCAGAGGTAACATGAACGCGCAGCGTTATGTCCACGAAGTTCTAGAACCCCATCTTTTACCCTATCTTGACACCCTGGCATATCCAATTTTCCAACAAGATAATGTCCGACCACATGTTGCAAGAGTCACAATAGACTTCTTTCAACATAATAATGTCACATTATTACCTTGGCCACCAAGATCTCCCGACTTGTCCCCAATTGAGCACGTGTGGGATATGATGGGTAGGAGATTGCTCAATTTGCAACGTCCTCCTCAGGCTCTAGAAGCACTTCGAGAGGAGTTGGTGGTTGCCTGGAATGAGATACCACAGGAGGACATTGACCACCTGATTAGAAGCAAGCCTAGGCGCGTTGGAGAATGCTTAGCACATCAGGGTGCATCCACACATTATTAAAGGTCCAAGGGCTTTAAAGCAGTGCAATCATTTTGAAATTTTTATCATTTACTTATTATGCTTCATTAAGTACTTATACAAAATTTTATTAAAATAAAACCATTTAAATTG